TTGCATTAGGTATTGTATCGTATGTATACAATAAGAAAATGAGAGTATATATTCATACTGTCCTATAAAAAGAAAGAATAAAAAAATAAATTTCACACTGCTACAACACAATTATTATTTTTTTAAAAATACTGCCTTTATTTTGGTAAGCTTTTCTGTTCTAAAAATCAAGTCATTAATGTCAGTTGAGTGTGTCTGGCAATGATTTACTTAAGGTAGCATTCATAACACACAGTAGCTGCATTATACAGGAAAAATAAATCTATTCATGTTACATTTCCTACCTTTAAAGCTTTTTTGAAAATCTTGTATTATGGTCTTGGATTTGTAACATTTGACTTTTTGCTTCTTGCACACACAAAAGCAACATTCATGATTTAAAACTATTTCATGTTTTATATTTCTTGAACAGGAATAAATCTTTTTTTTACATAGTTTTTTTTTAAAATCTCCTTCAGTGGGAGACGATACTTTTTTTCACTTAAGTCTGAATGTTTCCATAGCTTTCATCTTTTAATTTTGGTGTTTTTAAAGTCAAAGTCTGCTTAACTAGTCTCTCCAGCATAGTTATTATTTTAGAATAATTTACGTTTCTCCTTGTTTTGTTAACTAAATAATAATTGAAGAGTACCATTACCTATTAATTGTTTTGTTCCTGCTTTTCAATATTTACTTCTAGAACTTCCTAAAAGAATTGTTACATGGACCTCAGCATTGCTACATGTAAAATTAATTGAAATGACATATTGTTGCAGTTTCTATGACAACCATATCATGATGCTGATGCTCTCAAAAATTTATAAACTACTATTTCAACTATGCTAATACCACTGAAGAGTTAACATTTATTTACTTAATATTCTTATTAGAATTAAGCTTTTAATACTTTAGTTTTAAAAAAAAAATCAGAAAAAGGGGTATGTCAGTGTCTTTTGTTTGTCTGATGTTGGTTTTCTGTGAAGGAATTCTGATTTTTTGTGAGAACAATTTAAAATATAACTCTGCTACGTAATGTTGATGAAGAGATTATTCACTCAAAACAAAGAGAATGTATATCATCACTCACAAACTTTTAAACATGACATTCTAAAATAACTCTTACAGTGTAATCCACTGCAATTGATTTAAAAACAGTCTTGTTTTGCTAGAGGAATATTTAAAGCAAATTTATTCCTATTTCTATTGTCCTAGATGCTAAACCTCTAATGCTTGTGATATAAGAGTACTGATTCACTGCCATGACTTACATAAATAAAGTCACAAGCTTAAGTGTCTGCATGACACCCCCCTAAAAATATCTACTTATATTACTGCCTTCTTTTATTGTAAATGTGGAAAAGCTTTGCCTGGTAACTTGAATATTTTTTTTTCCCATATTAAATACATACCTTTAGTATAATCTTGTTATTCCATCAATCTGCAGGCTCTTAGAAGTTAGCTGATTTTAACAGTCTGACAGGGAACTCTATTACTCAGGCAACACTCACATTGGAATCAATGAGTGTTTTACTTGAGTAAAACATTTAGGACCAATGTAAGATGCCTTATTCAAGTTACTTCATAATTATATAGATTGCAATGACTTAAAAAATAGTGAACTTTGCTCTCCAAACATAGTAATTTTATTCAGTCTAACTTTTATTTATTAAAAAAGTGTGTTTTCTATTCACTATGCATGATTCCCATGTATAAGACTTATTGATAATTGATTCAAATAGGAAATAAAACACCTTTGAGTCATTTGTCTTAGGAAGATTCCAAAACAGTCGAATAACATTTACTTCACTTTAGTCTTAAATTTGATACTACATTGGAAAAACTTCTCATGTAATTGAATTATCAAATATGTTGAGATCACATCGCATTTTAGTTTCTAACAGTATGAATACTTTCAGCAGTTTCTACCCAATATTCCCAGTTTAGTAAGCTATATTTAAACATGTTTTGAAAGATTTATACAGTGATTTGCTTCTTAGTCAACTTTGTTGCAAGAAGTTCTTACTGCATATTTGGGTTAGAAAATGTGCCCTAAGAGGAAAGGAGGGAGGAGACAGCCATACTACCCATGCGATGTGCCATGATATTTATAAGCTCCAAGTAAAACTGGACAGTCTGAAAAAACTTTGTACCCCAAAATTTCTCTGCAGACATTTTAACCTTTTGTCTTGATGTTTTTGAAACTGTTAATCCTTTCTGGCATCATCATTTTGTTTCTCTTAATAAGAAGCATGCACTTTACATGCACAGGACTTGAGTTTCTGGGTGAAACAACTAACAGTGACAGAAGCCTACAAGATTAGGCCATATTATCACAAATTCACAGGAACATCTTGAAACCAATGCAATTTATAAGTGCACAGTGATAGTAATATAAAATACAAAATCATTGGCCTATCTCAAGGATTCCTTTTATTTCTGTTCATGTGGCATGTATATGGGGCTTAGTGGCAATGCATTTATTTGCAGTGTGGGCCAGTCCTCAGGTCAAAGACAGCTTTGTTTATTTATTCTAGCCTCCAGGGTTGGGTTTTTTAAAATATATTTTTGTTTGGGGTTTGTTTGTTTGTTTGTTTTTTTAAACAGTATCTTGTTCGTAGCACAATAGTTCAGTCAGGGACATTGAAAATTGTGCTTTGCTATTGCAGATTTTTTTTGTTTTTTGTGGGTTTTTTTGAGGGGGTATGAAACAAAATAAACTGATGGAATAAATACAGTGTCACAATATAAAGCCTATATGTGCTCTGTGGAATTCTAGCATGTGTTGTCAGAACGGGGCATCGCTAGTGAAGAAATAAAAGCACTGTGGTGTGCTGATAAACCCTTACAGTAATTCATAGGGGGTTGCAGTCATCATGTTTAGCAAAGGTTTTTCTGTGATTGAGGTTCTAGGGGAAAATATTCTGTAACTTTCGTGTTTATACCACTGACCTACAGCTTACTCTGGGCTGTATAAAATAGGACTACTGCGGGCTGCAAGGGGGTCCTCTAGGACGTGTCCCCTCCCAGCTCCTCAACCCTGTGTGCGGGTATAGCTATGCCAGTGTATCTTCCCCTCCTTCCCAGCTGAAGCTGGGAATATCAGTATAATATGTGAGGCCACACAGGTGTGTGCTCAAGGAAGAGGTGCCTTAGTATGACTGTGACGATTGCTTTAAACACCTCTTGCACGGCTTTGGGTTGCTTCTGAAAAAGTATGTTTAAAATTGCTGTTAATCTTGAGCTCCTTTTTTTATATGTTGGTGGTGTTTTATGTTCATCCTGTTGTACAGAGATGGGAGTAGAAAAATTAATAAGATGACAGATAGGTAAATCCAGCTGTTAGGTTAAATACCCAGAATAGGAGGAGCAGATGCATTTCAATGGGAATGTTTGCATCTTCCACAGTCATGCTACTGTTTTTCCACTTTTACTCTATACCTACAAAGCTTCAGGGATCCAATCTTAATGTGATTTCTAATCTCAGCTGAATGTAATTGCCATTTTTTGAGCTTGTTATTAGCGTTCTCTTGATTCATTTGTGGAGCTTACTTGGCCAGTGCAACTTGAAGCTAAGTTAGGTGACTTCAACCTTGCCGGTGCAGTTAATGCTTTTCTGGGTGCCAGGATGCACTGACATGATGGATGCTTTCCGGTGGCTGGGGCAGAGCATCCATCCCACCAGCTGCTGAAAGACCCATAAGAGGAGCCCCCTCCCTTCCGGGTTAAGGCTTTTTGTTGGAGTAGAGTTAAGAACTGCACTATGTTGTGATGTGTTGTGCCCCTACATAACAAGATCTGTCTGCTAAAGTAGATCCATTCCCATAGCTTTCATGCCTAAGAAACTCATCGTGCTGAGCTCAGTCCACAACTTTTAGCAGTGTCACCCCAGGTACTGTTGTAACAGCCTAGTCTTTTTTTCTTTCCTTTTTTTTTTTCCTTTCCCCCTCCATTAAGAAAAAAAAAACAAAACAAAACCCAAAACCAAAAAACAAAACTAAACCCCCAGCCTCAGACTTGAAATCACCTAAATGACTGGAGAAGCAAAACCTTCTAGGAAAGCCCGGGCAGTGCAACTGGCCTGATTTTGGCAGGGGAAGGAGGCATAAGATGGGTAGAGGAGACAGGAGAGCTCTCTGGCACATGCTCCGAGAGGACACTGCCTTCCAGCAGGGGTGTCGGAGGGGAGTCACCGGGAGCGGTGCCGGCGAGAGGAGCGGGCCGGGGTGCGCTTTGCCCTGCTCACCCCCCAAACCTCCGGGGAGGACGAGGGAGACAGGCGAAGGAGGGAGAGAGTCCCGGGGCAGGTGGCTGAGAAAAACGCCGGTGTCGGGGTTTCGCTTTGTGTCTTTCCATCTCCTTAAAGTCTCCCCGTCTTTCCCCGGCCCGTGAGAGCGGGCGGGCGGGAGCGGCGTGCGCTGACCCCGGGGTCCCGGGGACTGCCGGCTCCCCGCGGCGGGGTCTCCGCTCCCGCCTGTGCTCGGCTGCGGGAGCGCTCCGGGAGCGCGGCGGGCGCTCGGTGCGGGGCCCGCGGCCGCCTCACGGTGGCGCGTTAACCCCGCGCACAGGCCCGGGCGCGGGGAGCCGGGAGCGCGCTCCGCTTCACCTTCGCCGGAATAACAGTCCCGTTAATGTTTTTGGATAAACCAAACCGCCCGCTACGGCGGGGCAGGGACGGGGAGGTGCGCGATGCTCTGCTCCGGAGGAAGGTGTTTCAGCCTTCCCGGCCGGCGCAAAGCCCGGCTGGATCGGAGCGAGGGGCTGCGGCATCTGAAGAGCGCGGTCTCACCTGGGGTTTCCCCCCTCCCCCTCCACGTCTCTCTCCTCCCCCAGCCCCCCCAGGAGAAGTTTGCAAAGAATGTGATTGAGAGGGTAAAGCAGCAGATGCCAGCGTTAAGCTCCAGCCCGGTTTGGGTACAAGGATCTGAGCCACAGCCCCGAGCCACCGCCCTCGTTAGCACAGCAGCGTGCCCCTGGGACCTGGGTTACCCGAGGAGGACAAACACAATGTAGAGTCATCTTACCTCCGAGTCGAGGGAGCTGCCTTAGCGGCAGGAGTGGGAGACGTGCGGCTCCCTCCATCCCGCCCCGGCCGGTCTGTCACGGCGCTCCGGCAGCGCCGCCCGCCCCGCCGGGCTCCGCTCCCGGCGGGCTCCCCCCGCCCCCGGCGGGCAGTCCCCAGCCTCAGCCCCGCACACATCCACGAGTCAGGGGCAGCGTTCCGAGTCAAATCCGTGCCGGTGCAAATCCCCCATGGCTCCTCTCCGCCAGAGCGTGGAACAAAATTGCCGTTTCCCCTGAGTTTTTCTCAGGCTGTGCTGGCGCTCGGGAGCAGGTAAGGCGGCTGCTGGCTGCCAGTGATCCCCGCTGCACTTGCAGCGAGCAGCAGAAGCCGGTGGAAGTGGGAGTGTGGTCTGCTCTTCATTAGGGAGGGGGGAACGGACCCTGGAGGTGATGCAGTGAAACACTTCTACTCCCTTGCATTGTGTTTGTCACAGATCACGGGCGCTCTCCTTTTATAACATTCACTTCAGGCGTTCTCAAACCCAACCGGAATAAGTTCTGATCCTCCCCTTTAGTTTACATTGGGGATGTCAAAGGATTAAATAAATGAAACTTTATTTGACCGTGGAGTTTACAGACCCTGGGATCCCTGTGCGCTCTGGCCTTATTCTAATTCTATAGCGGTAATTACCCTTCGTTTCTTTAAGTGCAATAGATTTATTGCCTTAGAGACTATGCACAGTTTGATTGAATTATTCATTTTTTTTCTTTGGTGTAGACTGCATCTGGGGACTGATGTGACGTGTAGATTTTTTTTTTCAGGAACAAAGGGAATGTGGAAATGAAAGAGAGAGGGAGAGAGAGGCTGGCAGATGTGATGAGATGCGGTGAAGGTGTATCCAGCTTGGCACTCCCACTCCTCTCTTCTCCTCTCATTGCAGCCCTGGGTGACTCTCAGGCTAACACAAACAGCTTTTCTTCCGCAGCCTGCCCTCTGTCACTGTAAGTACAACAGCCTTCTCTTATCAGCATGCAAATTCCAGCCACTCACTACCTTAGCCTGGTGTTTGCACTTTAGATTTACAGAGGGGACCTTTAAAATGAACTTTCCGAGACAGGAAGGGGTTTTCATGTCGAACTTGCTTTTATTTTCTTTGTAAAAGTTTATGTGGTTTTTCCAGTTCTCTCTCCCCCCCCTCCCTTTTTTTTTTTTTTTTTTTTTGAACGGGGGGGGGTGGAGTGGGGAGATTGTTGCTGCGGCTTTTTCCTTCACTGTCAAGATGATGCACAGTTTAAAATTAAATTAAAATCTCCTTGATCCTCTTTCTGCCAAGACAATACATTTTGTTGGCAGATGACGCTGTAAGGAATTCAGAGTTTTTGTTTTCAGTCAGATCTTTAGCTTTGAGTTACAAAATACAAACATCCCCTAAATTTGGAGGAGATCGCCAGAGGTTCTTGTTCTAGGGGAACTCGTATCAGCTGATGGCTTTGCTTTTGAAGGAACGTGCAGTAATATGCTTCTGTCTAGTCTAACAAAACTTTCTCCCAATCGGATGATCAGGCTTTAACTTCCTTTCCTTTAGCTTTCTTTCAGATGCTCTTGATTATTTTGCAAAAGTTTCTCTGAACATCTTTAGCAAGCCTATAAAAAGCCTTCATTGTCGGAGAGTGTCCGCAGAGGGAATTTATAAAGATGCCTCTTAATTGTCCGGCATTAACTGGGGAGGGAGGGGAGTTTAGAAGTGGGTGAATGACTTTTAAAGTGGCATTTCTTACCCTTTGAATCAAAAACTTCTGAGACCCTCCTGCCAACTCTACAAGAGTTGCAGGTTTGCTCCTCATGTTAAAGATGCGGTACGTACAACTTAGCACACAGACAGGTTGCTTTGCTTGTTGAATATTGCTTTACTTTAACGTGTTTAATGAGACAGACGGCGCAAAATGCAATGACAGCTGTGAGCAGGTAAGTGTCCCGACGTGATCTGAGCGCCTCCGATCCCTTCCCTCTGCAGGGACCTCCAGCAGGTCAGCATCCTTCCTCAACATCTGCCTGCGCTGCCTGGATTTAGCCTTAATGAAGCCAAAGCAAGGGAAGTAATTTCAAACGCGGTTTCTAAACGTGGGGTAACACTAAAAGTAAAAGCGTTTTCTTGTTTCTCGGCACCTGTATACGGATCTACACGGCGGGTGTTCACTTATGCAAACAAAGAGGGAACCGCAATTATCCCCGTGCAGCGCTCACACACACACACGCACATTTGCATACAATGCCCAAGGAATCCTCTTTTCCTGGTGCCGAGAAGTTGTCGCTCTCCGGCACTGTGAGTTACATCTGTAACTTAATTGATCACACAGGGGAAGCAACAAGCTGGAGAGCGTTGCTTGCGCTCCGCCTGGGAGCGTGGCCGCATCCCTGCGGTGTCCTGCCCCAGCCCAGTGTCATTCCTTGCACTGGATTTTCGGGAGTGCAGTGGGATGCTGCCCCGATTTGGAGCTAGGTGGGCGGTTAGATTTATATGATGCCTTAATCATCTCTTGTCCCATTCCCGCTTCGTGTTTAATAAGGAGAACGCTACATTAGAGGCATTTGAGGAGTAGTTGATTTTCCCCCCCCTTTCTGTCTGTTTCTTGAAAGAAAAGAACTTCCACTGACAAATTGCTGGAGTTGCAAACTGAGGCAGGATAGTTCTTCCTTCTGTTCTGATTTACATCTCTTTTCTTACAGACCTTTTTTTTTTTTTTTTTTTTTTTTCGCTCCAAAGCTACTAGTTATGCAAGAAGTCAAGGTGTTTCTTTTACTTGAAGCAGGTTTAAATGTGTTACAAGCAAAGCGTTAGTGACCAATTATGGAAATTCTTATAATTAAAGATTAAAAAGGACATAGCAATATCTGTAAAGACAGCTATTTACTGCTGTTAAATCCATACACCACATAACTGTAGCAAGGTGCATATTTTGAATTACCCAAACGCAGGTGAATACAAACTCAGTATTTACAGTCATACAATTTCCCCCGTCTCTGAATGTCATTTTTTTAGTTTCTTTTATTAAAATTGAAAGAATGAAAGGAAATGAGTTACTATGTCCTCATCCAGTTAATTTGATGATAAAGCTTTACTAGATAGTTGTAAAGGTCTATTTCAAGGTGTTTGCTACTTGCTGAATAGCACTTGGTTATTCCTTTTATTATAGTGTAATTCCCAAAAATACTGTATAAAATAGGTCCATTATTCCAAGAGGTTCTGACTTACAACTCATTTTCCCTGGACTCTACTCGAGAGGGACGATAGCACCTCGGATAGCAAAGGCAGAGGATGCAACGTGCACGACTCCAGTAGTGTGTTGAGTTTTACACCTTGTTAACAAAATTAAATAGAGGCAGGTCAGCTCTGTCCTGTGCCATCCCGTTAATGCTCAATTTTAATCACGTCCTTATGAAGCAAGGTTCATTCACAGTGGGGCTGAGTGTGCTTCTGGGTCTAACATAGTCCACAAATTTCTACTCGAGAGAGGAGGAAAGCGAAATCAGGATTTCTCTTAGTCTTTTTGGCCTCTATAAGTTATGAAGCTATTTTAAAATTTAAAAGTTTGTCTGTTACTAACTGTTCCAGGCGCCTTCTGGAAAACGGGGAGAAAGTGCCAAAAATACAGAGATGAATCAACAACTTCTCTCTCTCTCATTTTGTGGGCTTGAGGTTGCTTTCCGCACTCCCATCTTAACAACAGTTTAGCCTAGGTGTGAATAATATCAAAAGAGGGAGATGTTAGCTCTGCAGCGCTGTTTGCCCACCTGATCTGCGGGCCCCTGACAGTTTGAAAGACTCTTTCATGTTTACCTTTGGAATGCAAAAATACAGCAGATAGACTTTCTTGGGTTTGCAGTACTCTGCCACTGGTTGATTTTCTCCTCAGCTCCTTACAGTTTTCCCTTCTTTTTCCCAGATCAGCCCCCCCCCTCCCCAATTAGCACTTCCAAAGGAGCGTGAGTTCCTAAATTGGTATTCAAGCTGATATTCCAGTCCCTATCTGTTGCCTTTTGGTAGGCAGAGAGAGGGATATTTATATAGTGCCGCTGCTAAAATTTCTCATCGTCGCCACGAGAATCCCAACTTCAGCTCGAGTCCGTCCTAAATCAGTTTTTCCTCTCCGGCCATACCTGTCTTTCCCTTTTCGCTGTACTCACGTTTTACCTTTCTGCTGAATGCATCACTAAATAGTTTGTGCACTTTGAGTGCCTTCTGCCTCCTCTCCCACGGGTTCCTGTAGCTGGACTCCCATCTCTAGAGCAATTTATACTTTCCATTTCATCTGTTTTTTTTTCCCCCGGGCCGGGCTGCGGGATCGGGCTCTTCAGAGTCCCATTTATCAGCTGTCAGTAAGCGCTTGCTGAGTGCTTCCCTCTCGTCCCCGCTCCCTCCACACCCCGCCAGCCCTTCCCTCCTCCTGCACATCGTCTTTCTCCAGCTTTTTTTTTTTTTTTTTAATTTTTTTTTTTTTTATTGTACCCATGAGCGGGGAGCCCGGCAGGACTCTTCTCGCGTGTGCCTCCCCACGCACCCGGTGCGGTGCGGGGGAGGGAGGGAGGAGGGCGGGCCGGGCCCGTGTCACACCGCCGCCCCCCCCCCCCCGCGCCGCCCCGGCCCCGCGAACCGGCTCCCCTGGGACCCCCCCGCTCCCCCTCCTCCTTTTCCGGCCCCCGCCCCGCCCTCGCACCCCCTCCCCGGTAACTTTCTAGTACCTTTCCTCACCACTCCGGGCAATCAGTGGTCATTAGCGAGAGCAGAGCGGTGTAGGGTTTCATGTGTCTAATGGCCCTGTGAGTGGTGATAGCTGCGCGGGGATGCGGCTGGCAGCCCGCGCCGATTTCACTTTCTGTTTTGTGCTCACTTTCTCCGCAGTTGTTGCTCTCCCCGCTCGCTCCCAGCCTCTCTCTCTCTCCCTTCCCCTCTCCCTCCTCTCTCTCCCTGTGTTGTCTCATCTTGCCTGTGCTGTCTGGGCGGGGGAGCCCTGCCTCCTTTTGCCTTCCTCAGATCAATGCCCTGGCCACTCACTTTCTGATGTTGCACGACGGGAAATGCTTTGAATACTTACGACATGGCCGCTCACAT